TGTTTTTATGTTGTTTTATGTTTCATGTGGAACTTAAATTGCTGCAGGTCTCCCTTGTAAAAGAGATCTATGATCTCAAGGGACCAATCTGAATAAATAAAGGTTTGAAATGAAATGAAACATTAGTGTACCACACTACATCATATGTTATCATATTGTGGATTTATTATATTATGTATTGTCCTATGTTATTTTTGTGTGCATTTGTTTTGAGGTTATAATTCATTAGTTATATATAATATATATATATTAGTTATATTCATTAGCCGATTCTTTTGAAAATGGAAAATGAGCCAAACGCAGCAGCATTTGGATGCACTTCAACCAAAACCCAGGCAGTGATAAAGCGCACCATTTGTAAAGGCAAACTATCCTTTAAAGCAGGGTCAACAAATAATCTCCATCGCCACTTAAAAACACAGTATCTAATATAAAGAGTTGCGTGAATTTCATTCAAGGCAAGACAACTTTATTTACTTAACACATACAGAGGGTCAATTCAAAGTAGTACATTCACTGACATGGATATGGCGCCACCTTGTGTCATGTTTACAAAGAAGATTATTGACATTAGGTCTGGCAATACAGTCAATCATTATCCTGGTGATTATTTCGCTTATTTTCCCTTCAAAGAGCCATAATTCCCATCACTAATTGCTGCCCAGGCTTGCCCATGCTTTTACCAGCGGTCCGTTCTGGTAGTTGACCAGGAAGCAAGCCACATTGAAGAGCTCCTCAATGCTTCCACACACAGACAGTGGTATGGCTTTGTCAAATAGTTTGTTCTCTTTGACTCTTCTGATGCACCTCTCCACATGGACCCTCAGACGTGCAATGGATTGAGTCTGCCTGACATCCTCCCTGCTCATTTGGGTTTTTTTGTGCAGAAAGGCAGGCCGGTACACTTTACACTCAACCAGATTGTCCACAAGGAACCCTTTGTCGACCATTATCGCCATGTCTGGTGTGAGCAGGCTCACGATGCCAGACAGCTTGAAGATCTCCCGGTCACTCATAGATCCTGCATACAGACCAGACACAAATGTAATGGCACCATGTGGTGCCATGCCGATCATGGCCTTGAATGTAGCATGCGACTTGTATGTAGAAAACACCTCACTCTGCAGCAGGAGAGATGATGGAGTCTGGCAGAATACTTCAGTGCAGTCAAGCACCACTTGTGTGTCAGGGAAAGCTGAAAACTCTGGTGGAAGGTGAGCTTTGACAACTTCGCGTGGGATCCACAGACGTTTGCTTCCAAGCAGTTGGTAGAGGAAGTGTGTCCAGGTGGAAATAATTCTGCTGACTGTGGTGCGGTGAATGCCAAACCGTTCTGCTAGATCCCTCAGATGTAGGCCCACTGACAGGTGCATGAGGAACAGCAGCAGCTCATCTATGGGTGGAAGTTTCTGTGAAAACAAATAAGTGTTAGGCATACTGTAGATACTGTTATAGGGGAGACCGGGTACAGTTGTAACACATTTTCCTGGGGTTTGTTGTTCTGTGTGTGTGTGTGTGTGTGTGTGTGTGTGTGTGTGTGTGTGTGTGTGTGTGTGTGTGTGTGTGTAACACATTTTCCTGGGGTTTGTTGTTCTGTGTGTGTGTGTGTGTGTGTGTGTGTGTGTGTGTGTGTGTGTGTGTGTGTGTGTGTGTGTGTGTGTGTGTGTGTGTGTGTGTGTGTGTGTGTTTTGTGAGTGATGTGATGCACTTGTTAAACGGTGGTATAGTGCGCAGCGTGCATAATTATTAATATACATCCATGCTTGTATGCTGCTTACCGTTGTTGATGGTTGAGAGGAATCCGAGCTGCTGGCAGAGGATGCCTTGGCGTTGGTGATCCGCACCATCTTGGTGTTGGCTGCTGGCTCCACCAATTTCCAAAAGGCAAGGAAATGCTTGTATGTGGCAAATCTAAGAATGTAATATTGTTCATGTTAGACATCGTTTTGTTTCTTAAATTAGCTTCCCCAAATGAAAAGTGTTTATCAAACTAGTGGCCATAACAACATCCTGATAGCCTTATAAACAAACCTTATAAACAAACCAAACAATAATAAAGAGCACATTGCTGACTATCTATAGGTAACTGTGGGTGTTACGTGAACCTCTAAAAGCTGCGCCCCGTTTCGAGTTCATTGTGATTTTAAAAAGCTAGGACATGTGTGTACATCACATTACTGTGGAACATGTTCCTGCTGCTCCTTTTCACAGTACCAAAGAACCCGTTAAAATAACGATATGTGATCGTAGGAAGCCTTACAATGATGAATTTCTCTCCTGCAGTGCATTCAACAACTCCATTACAGAGAAGATTGGAAAAATGGCTTTGTTGCAGGGTATAGACTGCAGTAAATGTTCTCATCACATCCAGGCTCCAGAGAATGTTCCTCCACTCTCCACCTAAAGAATAAAATGGTATCTACACTTTATTGATCTGGAGATGCTTAACTAACTGAAACTATAAACCTGGCATCTCTCCAGGGTGCTGCTGGCCTCTGGCTCTCAGATTCTGGGTGTCAGGCTCATCTGCAGCTCTTTACTGATCCGTTCTACTGTAACACAAAGCGCTTCACAGACAAAACAAAAATCAACAGACAGAAAGAGCAACACATAACTTTGTGATCAATAAAAACACTTAAAACCAACAGAAGTGAATAATGTTGCATGTCGTGAATAATATAAGAATAAATACAATTAAATTACAATTAAATTAAAAGCAACATTTAAAGGGTTGGCTCTGAAAAGTACAAACATTCTCTGCCTCCCTCAGGTCTTCTGAAAGGCTGTTCCACTCTGTAGGAATAAATAAAAGGCCTCTACTAGATGAGCTAGGGGTTATAAAGGGTTCATAGGTTAAAAGCAAATCTGATTAATAGCTAGGACCAAGAAAATGTAGACCTTTAAAGCAAAACAAGTATTTTGAAATCAATTCTGAAGGAGATAAACGCAGAAACTTTTACAACTTGGGTTGTGATTATTTGTGTGGCAAATAACCGTACACAGGAGAGCTTTGAGCTGATGTCAGACACTGATCAGAAGAACTTGGCCAGAGAATTGCTTCTGACCAACCAACTCTGCTTCTGTCCCCTGAACGTCTCATTTTACCATCAAAAAGCTTGTAATCAAACATTCCATCCGAAAGACAAACCCAGTTACTTTTCTTGCAGAGAAGCCTTCTGAAGAATGCTGTCAGATTAGCTTTTGCTAGGGGCTAAGCAGCACGGAGGCCCTTACGGCTCTGAGATTAGTGACTTTAAAACACTTTTTCATTGTGCAGTTTGGCTCACTAATAGTATGCAACAACTTATAAAGTACTTATAAACTACTCTAGTGAACTCTAGCTCAATTATTTAGATTTTTGACCGGCCAAAATGACTTCAACTCGGCCAAAACAAGACCCCGCGAAAGGAGGCCGCAAAGCCTCGCAATTTCCTGACTCGGCTAGCGTTGCTACTGCTAAGGTTGCTACTGCTAAGGTTGCTAGTGACACCCTAGATGCCTTGCTGCTACAGTCGATGATGGAGTCTCTCAAGAATTACATATTCGGGAAAATTGATGCATCGGCCGCGAATCTGCACTCTGAAATATTGTCTGTGAGACAAGAACTGAAGAGCTCAGTTGAACCACTTCAGCGCGCAGTACGAAGCGACGATGCGAGATCTGGAGCAAGCTGCTACTGACCACAGCACTCGGATAGACGAGCTGGAAGCTACAGTTGGCATGCTAACTTTGCAAGTGAAACGCTTAGATGACAAACGTGAGGATCGTGAGGGCAGGTCCCGGAGGAATAACATACGTGTGATGGGTTTACCAGAGGGACTGGAGGGACCCTGTGACACTGATTTTTTCGCACAGCTGCTCCGGGACTTGCTCAAGCTGGACGAGAAGCCTCTACTCGACCGTGCCCATCAGACCCTGTGAGAGAGGCCCAAGGAGGGTACCCCACATTGGCCCTTTGTTGTAAGGGTACACTTCTTTCACATCCGGAGCCTGATCCTACAGCGGGCTGGTGAATCCTCTCCTCTTCTCTGCAACGACAAGAGAATCTCCATTTTCCCGGACTATACGTCCTCCGTTGCCAAGAAGCGATCTGCGTTTGTCCCAGTTAAGCGCATTCCGCATTCCTACCCAAATGTGAAGTTTGGTCTCCTCTTCCCGGCGATTCTCAAAATCACCATGCCGAATGGAACGTCACACAGGTTTGAGGATCCTACGGTGGCCACTGACTTTGTCAATAAGAATTGTAGATAGACTAGTGATGTGTCGGTCGCGAACGAGCCGATTCTTTTGAACAGCTCTTTGGTACGAACGAGGGGAACCGAGTCATCCTTGGTGAGAGCCGTTCTTTTTATCGTTCAATCGTTGGTCCGCACTCACTGCCTGCCAAAATCCATTCGCCTTTTAAAAAGCTTGATTTTGTTCTCCAAACGTATTCTGTGAAGACCCGCCCCTACTCTGTTTCAGTACGAGGAGTGAGATGGGGTGGGTCTTAACGGAAAACGCGAGAGAGATAAGTCATAACAAGTGGTACAGGACAGGTAGACGACGTGTAGTTCGGATAGAAAATGAGCCAAACGCGAAAATGCAGCAGCACTTGGATGCACTTCAACCAAAACCGAGACAGTGATAAAGCGCACCATTTGTAAAGGCAAAAATATACTTTAAAGCAGGGTCAACTAATAATGTCCATCGCCACTTAAAAACACAGTATCTAATATTAAGAGTTGCGTGAATTTCATTCAAGGCAAGGCAACTTTATTTACTTAACACTTACAGAGGGTAAATTCAAAGTAGTACATTCACTGACATGAATGACATGGATATGGCGCCACCTTGTGCCATGTTTACAATGCAGATTATTGACATTAGGTCTGGCAATACACTCAATCATTATCCTGGTGATTATTATAAACCTAGTAACCCCGCCCCCTTTAAAAAACGGCTCTTTGAAAGGAACGGAGCCATAAGATCCGGCTCCCTTCAAAGAGCCATAATTCCCATCACTAAGATAGACTGCCTATCCTATAGTGCAGTCTTTCTCAAAGAGTGGTCCCTAGTGGTCCGTGAGTATATTTGTAAAATGCCACACTTTAAATTCATATTATAAGTTTAAAGTGTTTCTCAAACTTTTTAAAAAGTACTAGTATAGAGTAGGGCTGTGCATCTTCACTGGTCTCACGATTTGATTACGATTATCCTGTCTTCGATTCGATATCCCGATGCATCACGATGCATCACGATTCATACCAATGCGTTGCATCCTCAATTTTCTATATTACTGCACATGGCTTATTTTTCATCAATGCATACATGCAGTAAATACATATGAACTCTCTTTTTATTGCGTGCGTGCGTGCGTGCGTGCGTGCGTGNAGCCTACCACTAAACGACTNCTTTTACAAGGGAGACCTGCAGCAATTTAATGATATCCTCTATTGTTTGTTTTTATGTTGTTTTATGTTTCATGTGGAACTTAAATTGCTGCAGGTCTCCCTTGTAAAAGNAGTCGTTTAGTGGTAGGCTAGCAAGTCATGATTCTTGTGTTTAGACTTTTCGCTCCGTATTTTGATGGTTGAGGTGTTGCAATATACGTTGGTCAGGGGCCCCCTGACCAACGTATATTGCAACACCTCAACCATCAAAATACGGAGCGAAAAGTCTAAACACAAGAATCATGACTTGCTAGCCTACCACTAAACGACTGCAAATTACCATTAAAAAAACCCGTTTACTTTTCGTTTTAAGCATCGTTTTAAGGTGTAAAGGTATCATTTTCACATGCGCGTTCTCGTGACAAGGGGTGCATTTCACGCCGGGAGTGCATAATTTGGCACAACACCGGTGTTATGCATACCCACTGCACCTCGCGGGAGCACGCAACAGCGTAAAGCAAAAAAACTCCCAGACATTTCAATGATTTGTACGGCAAAGTTAGGTCTGGAAACGACATAACGGCATAACACCGCAGCCCTGCTGCGGGGAAACGTTGGCGCTGTTCTGTGTTTGTTCTAATCCTTCAAAATGACGGACTGCTTTCAGATTTTTCCGTCATTGCTAAAAAAAATCCGTCATAGACGGAATATATTCGGTTAACGCGACCTCTGTGTGGTACACTAATGTTTCATTTCATTTCAAACCTTTATTTATTCAGATTGGTCCCTTGAGATCATAGATCTCTTTACAAGGGAGACCTGCAGCAATTTAAGTTCCACATGAAACATAAAACAACATAAAAACAAACAATAGAGGATATCATACAACATATTGACATACTTATCAACATTTACAAATACCCATAGTTTCAGAAAGCATTTCACTTAGACGTGCTTTACAAACAATCAGAGAAATAAAATTGCTCAATTTCAATTTTAGCTGTAGACTGTTCCAAGCAAGTAGAGCTGCGGACATAAAAGCTGTCTTACAACTCCACACCGAAGACCGGAAGTACTCGAGCTCACACCCAGCCGCCGGAAGTTGATAGACGCCATCTTGTGCAACTAGCCTACACATGCCAGCCTTACACAGGGGAGACCACACCCCCTTTATAAGAAACAAGGAGGAATTACCGGGAAGTTTCTCCTGAGTGGAGTCATGACGGAGGGGGACACAGGTGGGCAAGGTGCACCAGATGACTGAGATAACATCATTTCTATTCCCTTATTTGTAATGAAATATATGTATATTATTACAATTGAGACCTTATTACAGAATATAATTTGATCTATTTAGTGCTCCATCTCTGCACCAAAAAACATGTTTTATGACATGAGCTGTACAACGTAACAATTAAATGTTGTTGTTGTTTTCTATACCTTCTGTATACCTGTTATTCTATTTTGGTTGTTCCCTTTCCTGCATTGTGTTCTGTAGGTTTTTTGAGCATGTAAAGGGT